TACAGTTTTAAATTCAAGATTAAGATTTAAATACTAAATACACTCTCTATATTTGTATGTGTCAAATTTTTTAGTCTTTTATATAATAAATATATGAGACCTTTGCAATAAAAAAGGGAGTCTGCCTAGAAAAAAAATCAATTTTACTTTATTATTTCTTAGATCAAAATAGTTTGATTTAACATTAACTCATTTTTCGTTTTTTCTATTGTAAAGTCTTTACTGTATATCACGTGATTATTTCTGAAAAATTTTGAGATTCTTTAAGCATTAGATCATTCCTATGGAAAAAAGGAATTTTTTGTTAAATTTTGTTGTTAAATGTACTTTTCAATAAAGCATTTAAAAAAGAATTTTAATGTTTAAATTTTGTTAAGTTTAACATAGTTACATTTTTCATAACGCACACCCTCTCTAAATGCACTCATGTGCCCGACCCCGCATTTAGAGAGCATTCGTCGATAAAGTATGAAAGATTATAAAGCATGGGCCTGAGCTCCATAAAGAATTCCAGCCTTTTCTTCTTAATTAAATTGATTTTTTATTTAACTATGACAAAGTATTGAGTTCGTTAAAGATGATTGACATATTTACTTTTAATGATTGAAAGAACAATTTTTTAGAAAAAAGAAAGAAAATATAAAACGATATAGCTCTTTTATTTGTAAAGTTCGTTGATTATACCGTGCTTTTCTTATCCAAACTTTAATAATAAATAAATCAACATGTAGCACGTAATTAAAAAAATGCGTAATTAATGAGAGCGAGTACACGAGTTTGATATGATTGCACATGGTTAAAAAATTAAAGCCCATATATATAATCCATCAGTATGAATTAGACGAAAAGTAGAATAAACAATTGAAAACATGGAATAAATTTTTACAGGCCCGCTTCTAAAATATTATACCGCAGTAAATTTTTTACCGCGCGGATATTAAGACTAGAAAAATGGTCTATCGTTCAAATAAATTATTTTGCTAAACCTAAAAGGGAATTTGGCTTATAACATTAGAAAATGGTTAAAATGTGTACATAGACCGATGATATAATAATGTTCTAAAATTATTTGAATATTCAAAAAAACAATTTGTAATAATATTTACAGTCAAATAAAGGATGAATCTACTGCGGAATGCGGTTCTCCTTCCCCTTGTACATCTTTCGTTTAGATTGAATTCGAGAATTAAATTCATTACATTATTGGGTTAGCGTAGTGAATTTTATGGATCTACCATTACATCAATATGATAACAAACCCAATTCAGCATTTTCTTTTTATATAATGTCTTTTCGTTTATTCAAATATTCACAATCACCTTTGAAATATTCTCTAAAGAAAATATCTACAATGTCTTTTCAAAAGGAACAATCTATTAATCGTAACCTTATTAAGAATCATATGATCAAATTGGATCTGGATAATCCCAAGAAAGATTATGATCAACTTATTGAAGCAATCGGTACCTTGATCGTAATGCAATTAAAAAAATCAAAGAAAAAAAAAACTAATTTGATCGTACTTTATATTTAGGAAATGCTCAAGTTGTATTAATAGGCGAAGCATCTCATGGTACTGAAGAATTTTACCATGAAAGATGTTTAATCACAAAAAGGCTAATAAAAGAAAAAGATTTCACGTAAATATATGTATTTTTTTTTTTTCATATTTAATTTGCCTTGAATTTTTTGAATTTTATTTCTTACCTTTCGTTCATAGTGTTGTGGCATGCGAAGCAGATTGGCCAGATACTTATAAAGTTAATCGTTACGTACAAAATTTTAAATCAAATGATTCAAAAGATGCTCGTGAGGCATTAAGTGATTTCAAAAGATTTCCCACTTGGATGTGGAGAAATTATCAAATAGCTGATTTCGTTGAATGGCTTAAAAAACATAATGATGAATTGGAAGCTAAAGCAAAAGCTGAACAAGGTGAAGAAGAATGGAATCGGTATAACAAAGTAAGTGATATTATGTCATTAATTAGTTTTTTTTCTTGGCTAATTCTTAATGATGTTTTATAGACTGGAATATACGGATTGGATTTATATTCGTTATTTGCGTCTATTGATGCTGTGATCACTTATTTGGAAAACGTTGATGATCTGGCAGCAAAGAGAGCAAGACAAGCGTAATATTAAAATTTATTACTTTTTGAATAATTTTCTGTATTTCGAATTTTAATAGAATCCCTTTTCTTTATATCTTGTAGTTACGGTTGCTTTGATCATTTCGATCGGTCAACCGAATCTTATGCGTTCTCTACATATTTTAAAGTTTCTTCATCATGTGAAAAAGAAGTGATTAGGGTGTTAACAGATCTTGCTAAAAAGCAATCTGAACGCATTACCCGCAAGAATCACTCAAATGACGAGGATGTAGATGAGTTATTCTGCGCTAATATAAATGCTATGGTGGTTAAGGATGCTGAAGAATATTACCGTGAGTAACCAACTTACAAATAACATCACTCGCATGTGGTTTTAACTCCTAGTTTTGTTTTTTTCATTAATAGGAAAGATGATTAATGCTGGTGCTCAAAGTTGGAATATGCGTGATTCACATATGATGGAAACGTTGAAATCTTTAATAAATTTTTTTCAACGTCAGAGAACTAAACAAGTTAAAGCTGTTGTTTGGGTAAGTAAAATACGGAGTAAAAATGTTTTAGAATTAATGAGTTTTTAAGATATTATTTGGCTACTATTTAGGCACATAATAGTCATGTTGGAGACGCGAGACAAACTCATCAAGGAGAAAATCAAAAAGAATTGAATATTGGTCAGTTGGCTCGTGAACAATTTGGATTTGACAGAGTTTACAACATCGGATTTACCACGCACACGGGAACAGGTAAATAGACACGCAAAAAGGGTTTACTTTTACAAGTTATCATTCAAAAATACTGACAATAGTGATATTATAGTTACTGCGGCTTCCGATTGGAACGGGCCAAGGGATAAAAAAGCTGGTGAGACCGCTTAATCATTGTTCGTAAAATAGTAATCAGCTTTTTGTCAACATTGACGCGAATTAACATCACTCCGTTCGCCTTACTCAGTTAATCCGTCACGTCGTGAAACAGTTGAACACTTATTTCACACGGTGGCCGAAGAAACTTCTTCGCCAAACTTTCTCCTCACTTTTAATCAAATTAAACAAAATAAAAAATTACCCGTCTCAAAGGATCTCATGAATGAACTAGCTAATAAAGCTAGGTTGAAAGAAAGAGCCATTGGAGTAATTTACCGTCCTGATACCGAATTACGATCTCATTATTTTAATGCTAAAATTTCTTTACAATTTGATGCTGTTATACATATTGATACTACGTCTGCTTTGAAACCCTTGCCGGACAAAACTGAAGATGAAATTGATAGAACTAATATTAAAGAGGAAGAGGTGAGTGAAATGTTGAACGTTTAAAAGTGATATCACATTATGATTAAACAAATATGTGTATATGTATTTAATTTATTATAGATGCCAGAGACTTATCCAACGGGGGAATAATTTCTCTTTGTCAATTATAAAGTATTTTATTAGTTCACGTTAGTCTGTAAAAATTTATTTTTTATATGTGTCGAATCGATCCATGTTTTAAATAGTAAAATTTTTGCATGGCAATGCTGCGCCAAAGCGAATAAATCGCATTTATTTCTTTTTAATCATTTTTTTTTTGAAGGATAATTTTTCTTGTGAAAAATTTCAACATCAAGATTATACAAATAAATAAATGATTGGGACAGACTTAATTCAAACAAGTAAATAATCACAGCCATATATTCCCAATAATTTAAAGTTGTTCTGAGCTTAATATAAAATCGAGGTCGGGATGTGAAAATAAAATAAATATTGCCGTGATTGTATTGACTTTCATTTATACTTTAATTTTTTGATTTGGTCTTTTTATTATGTGTAACCTTTAAAGTTCTCGGCCTTTTACCACTTTTTCTCTTTTCACATACTTAAAATCTATTGGAAATTCAGATCTATGCATCGAACTCTAAAAGCTGACACGTATATAATAAAATCATTTTTATAGATTAAATCAAAAAAATCGCGTTTTTAATCAAATGCAATGATTATTAATTACGTTTCGAGAGTTTTATTACATAATGAAAGGTTTCGAGGGTGGTGATATTTTGACTATTTCTCTTTTAATAAAGTTAACTTCTGTAAAGAACGGGAGATTACTACGGCTCTGTGACAAACATCATTTCCTCGTGCTCTCTAATAAATTGCAACATTACTAATAAATGATATCATAAAGAAATAAATGTTATACACAACGACATAATTTAAAAATTTTTTATGTTATGCTTAAACAAAAAAAAGTGATCGACGGGCTGAATTATGCAACTTTTCTTATTATGTGTAATGATGTGTTCTGTATTCTTGGTGATAATCTTATCTTCTTATCAAAATGAAAAAAAAAAAATTGTATGAAAAATTAGAGTTCATTATTTTTTCGCCGAATTCGTTTTTGACATTACGGATAAATGGATAAATTCTATTATAGAGGGCACTGCACTTTACTTATCCCTTCGTCTGTAACACAGGCAAATTTGTCTGCATAAACATAGTAGCATGTGAAAGTCTTCATGAGGCTCTAGAATTTATTTATGATAATAAACGAAATTCCCATGATAAATGCGTAGTAGATGTAGATTAGAATTTATCAGGATCGCCTTTTCAATTCACCCGAAAAAAAAAAAAATTTCGGAACTCCCTTTTCTTGAAACCGTAGTAGATGCTTTCTGAATATGGTATGATTACCATTCACAACGGAATTTCTACACCGATTTTGGGCTGAGATTTACATCATCTTTGACTGATTTTTCAAATGTTATCATATTCTGGATAAATTTATTTTTCCGACCTTCCTATTTTAGATTACAAAAGCAATTTTTGTTAATTTTTATCTAATAAAAAAGCTAACATTTGTTTCGATACCACGAATTGTCTTTTTTTTTTTTTTATCTTTTTTTTTTAAAATGGTCAAACTTAAATACGTTACTAACGAGTTTCGGTTAAAAATAACCGACAATGAAGGTAATTTTGCACCTCCAACACCCTCAGACTTGGATAATGTGATTCAATTTGATAATGACTCTCAAAAAACCGATGAAGAAATCGTTGACGAAGCAAATTTGAACCTCGTTCCAATTTATAAATGGATCGCGAAGAAAAATAAAAAAGAGAAAATCAAAAAAAAGAAAAACAATAAAAAGAAAAACAAAAAAGAGAAAAATAAAAAAGAGAAAGTTCCATGTTTAAATTCATATATGCTTTATCGTTTATTAAATAAAAATGTTATCGGAAATAAAGAATCCGAAAAATGTGCAGAAATTGGCAAGAACTGGCAAGAAGAACCCGAAAATGTTAAAAAAGTATACGAAGCACTTTCTAGATTGCTTAAAAGAAAATATGGAAATTCTTCCTCCTCAACATCTCCTACTCCGGACAACAACAATTTTCAAAATATAATGAATGAATCAACTTCTCCTTCGATTTCCAATTCATCATCTCCAACTCCTGACAACAGCAATTTGCAATATACGATGAATGAACCAGACTTGCACTCAATTTCTTCCCCCTCGTCTCAAAATTTTTCATTTTGTGATACTCCGTACAACAATTATTTTCAAAATATGATGATTGAATCCAATAAGCTTGGCTTGCAATCAACTTCTCATTCGATCTCTAGTTCCTCTTTCTCCTCAACATCTTCTCCTAATACGGACAACAGAAATTTGCAATGTACGATGAATGAATCAGAAACGCTCCCCTCGCTTCAAAATTTTGCTTTTGATTGTGATGATGTTTCTACTCCGTACAACGATTGTTTTCAAAAAATGATGAATGAATCAAATAAGCTCTGCTTGCAATCAACTTCTCCTACTCCGGACGACAGCAATTCTGAATCAGAAACGCTCCCCTCGCCTCAAAATTTTGTATATGGTTATTTTCCTACTCCGTACAACAATTTTTCTCAAAATATGATCGTCATGCAAGCGACTTCCCATTCGATCTCTAGTTCCTCTTTCTCCTCAACATCATCTACTCCAGACAACAGCATTTTACCAGATATGAATGCAACTTCACCATCAATTTCTCAACCTTCTCAATTTCCATTTTATCCTACTCCGGAAGATAGAAATTTACAATATGAACCAGATATCAGTCTTGAATCAACATTGCCCCCTTCGATTTCTGACTCATCTCAACAACATCAATCTACATTTTATCCTACTCCACCTCTTTTTGAGTTTGATGATTATTTGTCGAATTCAGAAGTTGATAGTATGTTTCCACCATTAGAATTAATTCAATCCACGAATACATCACACATCTCAGATTTTCACCAATCCACGAATACATCAAACATCTCAGATTTTCACCAAACGTTGTCAAATCAAGATCAAATGTCAGACGACTCTGAAACTTTTTTATCACTGAACATCGACACCTTGTTATTTGAATGAGATCGATGATTTTTTCACCAAACCACACCAACTTATCATTTTGTAGAATCCTTTTTACCACCAAACACCGACACCACACCAACTTTTACTTGGGATAAAGATTCTACACTGAAAATATTTCCTCGGCACTATTCGCAGCTAGCTGCATCGCAAAAAACAAATGCATTCATTGTTTTGTTGAAACAATGAATGCATTTGTTGAACGATGCGACTAGCCGCGGATAGCGCCGAGGAAATACTCTTTGTGTAGAATCTTTTATTCTATTTTACTAATTTCGGAATTTTTTTATTTTTTTTATTTTTAATAGTGTGTAGGGGGTAGTATATGTAATCTTCTCCTAAAAATTTTTAGGAGAAGATTACATATACTACCCCCTACACACTCAAAATAAAAAAAAATAAAAAAATGGAAATTAGTAAAATAGGATCAATCCTTTAAATTTATATTATTTTTTATATTTTATATTTTTATATTTTTACGTTTTATATTTTATACATTATATTTTTATATATATATATTTTTTTATACTGTATTTTATATTTTATATTTGTCAAACATATTTATAACTAAATAAAATTTTCCTTTAACAATCTTATATGCTTATGTAACAAAATGTTTTGTTATAAATATATAAAATTCTCGGTATTTTAATTTTGGATTTATTTCTTCACTAAAGCGTAGGTCGTTAAACATTTTGACATCGATCATTGTAAAAATATCGAGTTACGCAATTAACCTAAATTTTGAATCGGAATAAAATTTTTTATCCGAGAATTTAATGTTTAACTTTACTTTTTTTTTTGCTGGTGCGTACGACGCGTAAACTTATTTAAAAAGTATTATTAATTTATTTTTTCTTATCATGTTTGTGTTTTTTTTTTTTATTCCAAAAATTCGTTTATTTGGTTAGCGTTTTCTCGATGTCGGTCGCGTCCTAAAAAGTGAAAAGTTGAAACACTAAAAACTAATTTTACAATAATATTACAATAAATATAGTTTTTAAGAAATTCTATAAGTTATATGAATGATAAAATTATCGTTATGGTGTTAATTAAAAGAATTCATTAATAGTAAAATATTGGTAAATTATCGTTTCTGATAAACATGAAGAGAATTCTATAATAAAAAAAAAAAAACAAAATCGTTAAAACCAAGCTATATGTATATATATACAAAATATGTATATATTTATTTATTTGCTAATAACACTTACAGTATATACAACCATAAAAAAAAAAAACATATCCAATCAAATTATATTATAATAATAAAAAAAATTTCTAATTCTCTTCATTAATAGTGGATGTTGAAGAGCTAGGTAAAGCATTAATTAAAGATCTTATATTTAGTATACGTACAGGTATACTATTTCTTGGTGTAAGTCTTAACCCTTCATCTTGAGAAGAGCTTGATGATTCCGTAGATTTATTAGATTTCGAACTAAAAGTGGATTTTGTATTCCTCTTTGCTTGAACTGTTGATGAAGGTCCAAAGGAAGGTGTTGTTGGGAGATGTACATCAACGTTGACGTCATCATCATCATCATCATCATCAACTTTTTTTTCATAATGATTAGATGTTAAAAAGAAAAAGCTTGGGGAATGTCCCGTTGATTTTGATGGAATCATTCCTTCAGTATCTGAAATGACTGAAGTATGTGATGGTGTTGTCGTGAAATTTCGTGTAATCTCTATCGAAGGTAATACATCCGTTAGATACCTATTTAACTTGAAACTTCGTGAGGGAGATGATTTTTGAATAGAATTCGCTTTAAATTCATCCAGAATATAATTTTTTCTTTCATCAAATATGAATTCTTGTGGAATCTGTATGACGGATTCAGTTTTGTTTCGATGTTCGAAAGAAAATTTCTTTAAAAATTTCTCTGAATTCCTATTATTATTATTATCTAAATAAAATTTCAAATTCAATAATTGATGAGTTAAAAACTTTTTGATTTCCTATCTTTTTTTTTTCGTTTTTTCACACTTGCCTATTATACTGGAATTTCTATTACTCCTTCCAAGTTGAGCAATCGTATGACGGGTAGCAGGCGGAGTCATATTTCGACGAGAAGAAGGTTTCTTTAAGGATTTCATGGCTTTTCGTAAATTCCTAGAGTTGACTTGACCACTTTCCACTGTTAAACTCAACCTATTAGAATCTTCGGAATTTTTATTTATAGATAGAGCACGAGCTAAAAAGGATTTACGTATTGAAGAAGAAGATCGTTTACGAACACGTTGTTGTCCGGGTACATTGATTGTTAATGAGGGGTTCTTTCTATGTGAAAACGGGTCAGGTGCATTCGGATTTGTTCTTTGACTGAATGTTGATGGGCCAGGTGCTGAAGAACGTGCTATTGACTCTTCTGATGAAGGTTTCGTTAATGATGAAGATAACGAGAGATGTCGTTGCCTTCCTTCTATTGAATCTCTTCTTAATGTCGGATTTATAATTGCGAAATTTACTAATAAATTATCGCTACGATTTTTTTGCCGACATGGAGATTCATGAGAAAATTTTCTAAATATTTTTGGTGTTGTACCATATATCACTAAGCATTAATTAATTTGGTTAGTTTATTTTTATACGTCACCGACATTTTTAAACATTTATTGTTATTAACGACACTCACTAAATGTAAAATATGGGATCGTAACGAGTAAAAAATCAGGCCACATTCCCGTATTGTCAACCCAATTCAACATTAGTGTCATAAGCAACCGTGCAACTATGATTTTTTTTTTTTTTTTTTTTGAGATTAAATTAAATTCAACTTTTTTTAAAAAAAAAAGGAGGAATGTATATGATAAACTCACACGTGGAAAGGCAAATGGGCAATGACGTTATGATTCCAAAAGCAATAACCCGCCTAGACAAATCGATATCGATCTCCTCAACATCATTGGATTCACGTTCATAAATTAATTTGATATTCCATGCTGCAATGATTAACCAAATTTAGTGTGGTTCGAGTGGCACAGTAAATGAATAAAGAAATTTGATTAAATATACCTATGAGAATTGTTGTGATTATAATAGAGCACATTGACACAAAATAAATTCCAATGGCACTAAATACAAATAAAAGTAATGTTCAAGCATTTAATATTGGATTTCGGACTTGAAACCAGCTAAGTATGTAATCAGTTGAGCCATTCATGTTAAACCTCATACAAATAATTTCACAAAATGTGAAACACGTCATCTGGGTAAATATTATATCCCCACCTTTGACATCACCGTTCAAGAAGCGAATTCTTTCGGAAATATATTATTTTTTCAAGTTGTTCGATATCAAAAATATACGATACTTACGGACCAATCGCAGGGTTAGAAATCATACAATAATATAGCCAAGGTTCCAATCCATTTTTACTAATTGCCAATACAGTAACGGTAATGGTAAAGAATAGAGGTAATCCCCAAGAAAATGCCATGAAGCTCAGCAATTCATGTTTTCTCAAGATTTCACTTTGTTGGAGCCTTTGCCTCCTCCTCCCCCTATTTCTTGTAAAAATTAAAGTCATATTATATTCAATACAAACAAGCCATAAAGCTATCGAAGTATTTAAATATGTTAAAAAGAAGGCTTGAAAGGCACAAGCAAACGTGTTTGCTGTATCCTCAAGATTCCCATTTTTCGCAAAAGCTAAATAACATGAATTTATTGAAGATAAGAAAAGTGTCAGTGAAAAATATGCGACCGTTGAATAATGTTTATGATTTTTATAAAGTACGAAAAGGGACAGGGATAATGGCAGTGATATGATATGAAGAGTGTAATACGCTACAGCGTCCGTCTCAAAAACCATTCTTTTTTTTTATCTTTACGATTTTTCACGGTTAATTAATTTTGCTCATTAACGAGGATTTTTTTTTTGGTAAGTGGAATGAAATCCAATCCCTCTTTACTTTATCTTTATCTTTTAAAGAATAAAAAGAAAAAAGAATAAAGGATATTCGTGAATATATATGTTCAAGGGTCCCGCCCTTTAAAAGAATGGAAAAAAAAAAATAATGGTTTTTTTTTTTTTTTTTTTTTTAACAGAGAAGAAAGACTGCGGACGCCTTTGATGAAGTAAAAGGAATGAAAATGAAATTAAAAAATAAAATCATAAAAGGAATTGAAAAATGTATTAAGGTGAGAACATCAAAATTCCGTGTGCACAAAAATATTAAATTAATTTGATTCCCTTAATAAGGTAAACCTCGAAATAAAAAGTTTAAAAGCTGATCGCGAAGTTTTAATTGGGTTTTGATATTTTTTCACTAATATGATTGAGAAAATACATGAAACAAAGGAAATGCATACGTGCCACGTCTTAAGCTTACAACTTTGGAAAATCATTATTTTTCCTATAGGACAATTCATAAAATAATCAAGGGTTTTTTTATTATTTAAACAATGACCTTCTTTATCATGAGATTAAGATTTTCTCGAGAATTTCCTTTTTTGGTCTATTCCTGAATTGCCATAGTTGGTATACAAAGATCTTCGTTAATGGTGTTACCCTTTTGAAACTCTTCATAAATTAATAATTTATTTATTTATTTATTCTTTTTTTAAAAGAAAAAGAACATTACATGAAACGGAATGACTTTAATTACATTTACATTCCTCGTTCATACTAGGATAAAAGTGATTGGAAAATCACCTCCATGTATGCGAAATAATCGGGTTTACTTATAAATCCATGTCAAAAAAAAAAAAACGCAATTAAAAATATTTATACTACGATAAAAAGATTAAAAATATTTAAATTATTTATGGAAAAGAATTCCCATTTATCAAGTCGATGAAAGGATTATTCGATCGAATCTCTTCGTTTTACCGAATTAATCCATCTCATGTATTATTCTCGTCGAGTAACCTTGGTACGCGTGTGTTAAACATGTTATGTGTGTATATATATAGAGTTAGGGGATTAATGTTTATTTATATCAAAGAATATGTCGGAAATTAGATCACGATAAAAACAAATTAAACGGGACT